CTTCTGCACGAAATTATAGCTAATTTGCCTACAAATGTCAGGTGGTCATAATAATCTGGACACTCAGTGTATATACAATGCTAACATGATTGGGACAAAGGAACTAAACCTGAATCATTCCAAATTTATTGAAAAAATCAGTGATACACTAAACCTAATAAATGTATTTAAGAAAAAACAATCTTAGCCTTTATTTGTATAATAAAAACTAGTGTGAGAGTGCCCACATTTAAAAAAAAGTTGATCATCGTAACATGCCAGTCTTCTTACACCTATAGGAGTTATAATGGTACCTTTTTCTCTTAATTATCTGGGTTTGAGAAAAATAGCACTTTCAACACAAATCAGGACTACTTGAGGTAAGAGGCAAAAGATTTATATTCTTAATAAGCTTTCCTACTTAGGAAACTGATAATATTCTGAACTTTAACAATATACCTTTCCACCCCATGTACAAGAAAAATTAAACAATTCAACCTGCACATTCTCTGCTTCATTGTAAAAAAGTTGATTTATTAATAAAAATCATTCCACACCCAGCTCATTTGCCTGAAGTGGGAGTCACAGTTGTTAAATGCATGGGTACTGGAGTCTGACAGGCCTGGATTCAAATCCCACTTCCTCCTCACTTACCAATGGAGTGAATTTGGGCAAACGACTTAACTTTAGCCTCATTTTTAAAAATATGTACTAACAGCATGCTACTACTACTTTACAATGCTTTCATAAATGAGGTAGAGTATATAAAGCACTTAGTGACACCTGGCACATAAAAAGTTCTAGTACAGAATAGCTACCACTGCTATTGCTCTAAGGGGTTAGCAATACATATGATTTTAGCTGTTTGGGGGAGGCGGGGCAAGTTCACTGAGGTAGGAAGAGAAGCTAAGAGTTAAATTAATTTCAGAAGCAAATCACAAGGATGACTCCAAATAATAACATCTGTAATTCAATATCTCCAATTTGCCCACAAGTTCTCAGTCATTTCCAAAATAAAATCTCTTGTTATAGAGATTACTGTGTACAAAATGATCTTACAATAGAATATGCATAGTTGGAGACAAAGGAAACAAGATCAATGTTGATGATCCCGCTTATTAAAAAGGAGAAGAAAGAGTCCTGGCGGGTTCAGCAAGGTGGTTAGAGCGTCGGCCTGCGGACTGAAGGTCACAGGTTCGATCCCAGTGCAGGAGGCAACCGATCCATGTGTCTCTCTCACATCAATGTTTCTCTCTATCTTTCCCCCTCCCTTCCACTCTCTCTAAAAATCAATGGAAAAAATATCCTCGGGTATGGACTAACCAAAAACAAGGAGGAGAAGAGATTAAGATGTGCAAACTACTAGTTATAAAAACAGCCACAAGGATGTCAAGTACACCATAGGGAATATAGTCAATAATATTCTAGTAACTATGGTATTGGATGGGTACTAGATTTATTGAGATGATAAATAAATTATATAAATGGCTAATCTCTATGATGTACACTGGAAACTAATATTGTATAGCAACTGTAATTGAAAAATAAAATTATTTTAAAAATAACAATTAAAAAAATAAAACTACACATGACTCCCTGGCACAGAAACCATTATTTTGTCCTTTTAGCTTTTATTATTATTTTTTCCTTGGTTCCTCCGAGACAGAGATAACCAAAATCTATATTCCTATGGGACTATAATAGCAGGTATGAGTATAGAGGTAAACTTCTTTAGGGCTGGTTACAAAGAAAAGTAGCTCTTGTAACAAAACACGCACACATACCACCCAGAAATTTTCTAACATTTTTGGAAATGTCAGTAATAGCTACGTCAGAGAAATGCACATTAATGTGGACTAGGAAGATCCCAACAGAATTAAAGTGCACTGGGAGGATCAGATAATAAGTTAATAGGCAAAACTGCTCTGGGTCAGTGATGTATCTCAGAGATCAATGGCATAAAGTGATAATGTACATAACTGGAGAAGAAAAAAAGATAATGTGGGAAAGGATAACCAAATATGCAATTATTGAACTAAATTAAAATTAAATTTGACTATTTATAACAATAGTAACATATCCCCATTTTAAATGTTTGTTGAAATTTATCTACAAAATTTATATGGGACAGTCCAATTTTTTTCTTCCTTGTCCTATCCTAGTAGCCTACTAAGAAATTCTCTCCCAAAGTCAGGAAGACAGTAACCATAATAATTCAGTGTTCTGCAGTTAGTGAATATCACAAATCTAAAGCATGAAAATGTTAAAAAAAAATGTAGTTAATGCAAGCCATCCTTTTCCTGCATTCCATATAAAGATAAAGCAGATTATTTTTTGTAAATGACCAGTAATTGCCAATATTAATGAGTGAACTTATTAGTTAGCAACCAATTACAAATGGGTTAGGATACAAGACAGAATTATTGAAATGGACCCTAATGTTTCAAACCTATGTTATAGCCAACTAAGAGATTCCTTGATAGCAGAATTCAAAGAAGTAGATTATCCCATTCTTTGAAGATAGAGGGAAAGTTCTGGGAAATCATTAAGGTATAGGTGATGACAGAAATCAGGAGAATAGATGAAGAATTTAAGATTAAGAAAAAAAAAAGAAAAAAGAAAAGGCTTCCAGGATTGAACCTTAAAAATAAATACTAAGTGAAAAAATGTACATTTCAAAGAAACAAAAGATTAACCAAGAATGCTGAGATCAAAAAATTGAGAACTGAAAATGGGAGTCCAGAAAGAAAGTGAGACCAATTCATGATAGCTAAGCTAAGATAGTAGAAAATAAGGATAAAGTTACAAGGTTCTTAATCAAAATGAAGTTTTAAATTTCTGGAGGCTTACAAATTTTCATTATGTATAATGAGGAAAGAGAAGCAGTACTTTAGGACAGTGGTCTAAACTACTTCAAATTCCCTTCTTTATAATAAATCTAGATCAGATATATTTTATAATTTTTAAAAAAATTTTTTAAATATATTTTTATTTATTTCATAGAGGAAGGGAGGAGAGAGAGAGGTAGAAACATCAATGATGAGTCCTAGCTGGTTTGGCTCAGGGCATAGAGTGTCAGCCTGCAGACTGAAGGGTCTTGGGTTCGATTCCAGTCAAGGGCACATTCCTGGGTTGTGGGCTCAATCCTCAGTAGGGGCTGTGCAGGAGATATCCGGTCAATGATTCTCTCTCATCATTGATGTTTCTATCTCTCTCTCCCTCTTCCTTCCTTTCTGAAATCAATAAAAAAAAAAAATAGAAAAGAAAAAATAAAAGAAACATCAATGATGAGAGAGAATCATTGATAGACTGCCTCCTGCATGCCCCACACTGAGGATCGAGCCCACAACCTGGGCACGTGCCCTAACTGGGAATAGAACCGTGACCTCCTGGTTCATAGGTCGACACTCAACCACTGAGCTACGATGACCGAACTATATTTTAAAATTTTAAAAAACCTCGCCAATAAACAAACTATATATAATGTATCCTTTAAAATACAAGAAAAACTAGTACTAAATTTAAAACAAAAAAACAAATTTCTATTATAGTAGTGTCATTCCTAAGGAAAAAAAAGTTATTCTTAATTGGCAAAAATGTTTCTGTATTTAGAATCATGGGCTTCTACTTATAACTCTAAGACCTATAGATTATTTACAGACACAGAAACTAAGACAGAAAGGCTAAACCTGTTGAAGATTATAAAGCCACTTGGTGGCAGAGACTTACTAGAACCAAGATTCTTATCTCTGGTGTAGTGCTGTATTCTTCCCTGACATCACCTCTGCAGCAATATCCTACCGATCCCTTAGGACTAATGGTATTGAGAAAATTTAACATAGAGAATGAAAAAATCACTAATAGTTTCTCTAAGGGGAAAATTTTAGAAATTCATACAATCAAGAACGTAATTGTACCTTTATCTTCAGTGTTCAAGAACAAAAAAATGTAACCTGTACTCCAAATGGGCAAAAAGGACAAGTGAACACTCTGACATCCCCCTCTCCCCCATGCTTAAATAGCTATAACAACAGGTTTGGGCATACTCTGGTATCACTCCACCATTTTCCTTATGAACAACCCTAAACTTCATTAAATGACTAGAAGAGGCTAAATTCTCACTCTTTCAGAGGCTGAAATGATGGCAAATTTGCCTTCCATTCATCCTATCCTCAGCTATGAAGGCAGAGTAGTGCCTTATCATAAAATGTTACTAAGTAATACTAAATAGGTACATATTAATTTACTCTCTTAGCAGCTACCCTAAACCGCTGAAACCAAAGTAACCACTGGATATGAAAAAGTTTTCTAATAAAGAAAAAATAAATAAATCCTACAAAAACCAAACTAAACCACCAGTGCTATAATTTCAGGAATCCTGGTAAGGCAAAAGCAGCACGAAGTGAAGTTGGGCTTCCTTAAATCACTCTGTCCTCATCTTCACAGATTGGCTTTCAGTACAGTTAAATTTGCAGCATGTTAAACTCAGGTGTCTGTGTTTTATACAGGAATTTGGAAAATAAGGATAAAAATCCCAGTGCAATTACAAAGACTTCTCATAAAAAGAACCAAATGGGAATTCCCTGTGATAAATAATTTCTCATTAAAAACTTAAGAAAAAGGTAAATAAGCCAAACTTCTTCACAGAAAAAACTGTATTTACAATTCAATTCAAAAGCAGTTTTAAAGCAAACAATGTAACACTGAAGTTGAAAAATCTATGCTCACCCAAAGTTGCCAAGTCTGATAAATTATTAACAGAACACTGCATCAAAAATAAGGCAATAACCCAAGATACCCAATGGACAATTTCTCCATTCCCACAACTAGATAGAACTAATCTATCTAGTAGCAAATGATACCTCACTCCATCTCAGCATGTCTAAAATCCTCAAGGATAGAGTGATAAAATATGACCTATATTCTTCATTAGACTCTTTGAATACTTGAAGGAAAATAATTTCTAAAGCACAGAGAGGTAAAGAGGTATAATCTTTGAAAAAGATACTCAGTGTTCAAAATTCAAGAATGCAATATTAATAATACACAATGGGCATTAGGTGAATATATGCAATACAGTAATAGCAAATTAATTTATTTAGTACTTTTTCCATTCCATATCATCAGGAGGATTGATTTCAACTTTTCTTTTACCTACATCAGACCAGTTGGTACTCAAAACTGTACCACCAGACTCCATCTGCAATAAGAAATAAAAATAGATTAATTCTTAGACCATATAATCAAAATATTTCTTCTAAAAATCTTTGAAGCATAGAGTCCCAAATATTAGCAATATTTGGCTCAATAAAAACTCAAGACAATATTTTGATTTAATCTTAAGCTTTCCAGAGAAGTTACCATGTTCGGTAAAATCTGAAAAGTCTAGAGTATGTAGGTAGGAGCATCATGTTGACATATAAAGCACCATGTCTCCCTTTCCTAATCAGCATAGAGTTATATGTGGAAAAACTACCTTCAGATGAAAATAAAATTGGCTCCCATACAAAATGATGATGCAATTTATTTTGCAAGGACAGTAAAGACCAGGCAAAATAAACCCTTTCTACAATAGTTGGACAAAACTTTAAGAGCCCTTTCTTAATGCTCTCTCTGTACCAAATATATGCAAGTATGTGCTGAAAAAATTTTTTTAAATGAAGGTGCACACACAGGTATACATAGTGTTTCAGTAAAGAACTGGTTATCTATTTAGCATCTACTGAATATACTACCCATTAACCCTTGCACACTCATAAATACCTTAAAATTTTTTCTGCACATTTGTTATCTTAATGCAATACAAATTCATTTACTTGGATCACAACAAAGAACAGTATGAATTATTAAAATCTAAACATTTAAAATTGATCAGCTGTGTTATTGACAAATGTGTAAAGTTACATACCCTACTATTACACTGAAAGCTCACTATAGCCGCTGCCCCACACTCTCTGCCAAGCTCCCTTTACATGGGATGCTCTTTTTCATCCAGTTCTTTGTATGTTTTTAGTTATGCTCCAAACACATCATGTCGCCACATCTCTATTGCCTTCTTTGACCCTTATCAGGCCTCTACACTTGCAAAATTTGTCTTCTGTATGAGCATAATTACCATAAATAAAACATGTATCACACTGCACTGCTATAACTTTAAGGGTCTGCCTTCTTACATCTGTTTCCCACCCTTGGCTCCAACTAAAGCTCCTAAAAAACAAGGAGTATATTTTACTAATACTTATATTCTAGACCTAAGCACAAGGGCCTGGCACCTAGTAGGCTTCAAATAAAATACTGAATAAAACTGGGCAAGTCTACATAATAAACTACTCTTAAGAGGACTGAAGGAAGCATATTTAGTTTATAATATGATCATATTCATTGATATTTATTTACCCTCTCTCCTTATGGATTGTAGTACAATTTAGCATTTTCCTCTGGTTATATTGTACATCAAGCATGTCAAACTTGTGGCCTGTGGGCCGCATGCGGCCCACAATGAATATTTTTGTAGCCCAGCCAATATAACGGTATGTAAGAAACGTTTTAATAAAAATTGCGTGACTTAATTTTTACAATACCCTGTTATTGTAAATAATTACAATATACAATAATTACAATTAATAATTATTAATAACAAGCTACAACATTCGCTAATGACTGATTACTATAATCATGTTGCATTCATTTCCCTTACGTGCCTTACGCACAGGCGCATCATTTCTCCCCACTAATACTAGCAGCAAATATTTTAGCAGCCAATTGCCACGCCATTAGTCTTGGACTGACTTGTTTGGTGTGAGCAACAGGAAACATTTCTCTTCGGAGAACAAGAAAAATAGGTTTATTTGCGTTATGCTTATTAACTTGTGCAGTTATCCAGTGTCTGCTAAGTTAATGTTCAAGAAAAAATATTAATTTTTATTAAAATGTTTTATCATTTTATGATAATGATTACTCTTTTATTTCAGCACTTTGTATTCAGCATGTCTCTATCGAAATAAACCTACGTTTCTATGAAAATTGAAGTTTTCGGTTTTTTGCAGCCCACATAAACTTAAACCTTGCTTATTTGGCCCGTGTTAGCCTTTGAGTTTGACATGCTTGTTGTAAATGATGGTCTTTTTGTCCCAACTAGGCAGGAAGATCATACATGATAGATCCTATTTTGTTTCTTTTGTATTCCCACAAGGAAAGAAGCAACCCTAAGTATGTTCCAGGGCAATGCTGCCAAACAGATGGCTTGTTTAATGGATGTACATGGTTCACTACAATTAGCAAAGTTTCTGTATGAAAATGGGTGTAGCTCCTGTAATCTACCTTAGAAATTTCACACACTGCTTATCTGGCATGCTCTTGAAAGTCAATACTGAGACTGACTTCTTCTTGGGGACACAGAGTACATGTGCTCTTTCCTATTGTTCCCATTAAGTACAACTAAGAACCTTGGAGGGAGGGAGGGAGGGAAACAAATATAAGAAGACTCTAACACAGCGGTTCTCAACCTGTGAGTCGCGACCCCTTTGGGGGTCGAACAACCCTTTCACAGGGGTTGCCTAAGACCATCGGAAAACACATATATAATTATATATTATTTTTGTGATTAATCACTATGCTTTAATTATATTCAATTTGTAACAATGAAAATACATCCTGCATATCAGATATTTACATTATGATTCATAACAGTAGCAAATTACAGTTATGAAGTAGCAACGAAAATAATTTTATGGTTGGGGGTCACCACAACATGAGGAACTGTATTAACGGGTCGCGGCATTAGGAAGGTTAAGAACCACTGCTCTAACAGGTAAAAAGAAGACAACCAATCAACTAGAAACCAGAGACGTTGGGACCCAAGGAACAACATGTGGTGAGTTTCCTGGGTTTTCTTTCTGCCTCATATATCCTAGAGTTGAAGCTAAAGAAACTGGAAATACCAAAGAGTGAGAATAACAATAAAAAGTCCCAACAACCCTGATCTCTGTAACCAAAAGAAGAAGAAAAACAGAAAGACAGCCTAGGAAGACAGTAGACAATCATTGCTCAACTCGAGCTAAACACCACTAAAAAAAGCATCCCACCCCAGGCCAATAAAGGCTGAGTAGGGAGCCTAGACTTCCACCCATGCTAGGCTGTCATGAACCCACCTCCTCTGCTGCCTACAGTGTCAATGGAAACATCTGGGGAGCTGGAACTCCTACTCCCAGCCGTGACAAGGAGATGCCAAGTGTTTAAGGAGACCAAGTGGGGTACCTGAATATCTATTTCCACCTGGTAGTAATGAAGCAGTGCCTGCACTTCCCCTGCCAGACTGGTTGTGAGATAAACCCAATGAAGACTGAGGGTTTAAACAAGATCCAGAGTCCCATAGCTTAACATGAAAATGTCCAGGGTTCAACTGAAAACCACTTGACACTGGTGAAAAACTCAGACAAAGTATATATTTCATATTATATTTAGAAAAAGAGAAAACAACAGATACTAACTTTGAGATGAAAGAGATGTTAAAAACATCTGAAAAAGATTTTAAAGTAGTCATGGTAAAAAATGCTTCAACAAGAAATTATGAACTTGCTTGAAAATAAATGAAAAGGTAGAAAGCCTCAACAAAGAAACATAAGATATAAAGAACTAAATGGAAAGTTTCAGAATTGAAAAATATAATTGAAATTCAATTAAAGGATGTTGGGAAAAATGGGCAGATACATGCAAAAAATGAAACTAGATCACCAACTTACACCATACACAAAAATAAACTCAAAATGGATAAAGGACTTAAACGTAAGACAGGAAACCATAAAAATCTTAGAGGAATCCACAGGCAGCAAAATCTCAAGACATATGCCAAAGCAATATCTTCACCGATACAGCTCCTAGGACAGTGGTCAGCAAACTGCGGCTCACGAGCCACATGCGGCTCTTTGGCCC